TTTGGGGCTGGGCTGTGGTGTCCAGGAAAGATTAGTTTATGTTGTGATGATTCTTTCCCCCGTTTTCCTTCTTGGGCCCTTTTCTTCCTGTGTCCCTATGTCCCTGGGATTCCCCTCCTCCACTGTAACTCCAAACCTGCTCTCTTCCTATATCTCATACCGTGGTACTTTGGGATAGGCCTAGAAGAGCTGGGATTCTCTTCTGTTCAAATTCTCTGCTCCCAGACCTCCCAGATACATGCATTTGCTGAGGACTTCTGGACATCATGCCTCTGTTAAATAGGAGGAATGTCTCTCATGGTGACACTTGGTAGCAGGCAGGCTGGCAAAGGAGGTGTCTGGGAAGCAGCAGTGTGGGGGCCATTATATTCTGGGTCCAGGGCTCCAGTTAGGGCCTGCAGCCTGCTCCTGCTCTTTGGGCTAGCTGTGCCCCTCATACATTCTGCATTCAGGGGCTGCCTGCTGGATGAAAAAACTTCCAACAAAGCTCACCCTGCACCCACCTTCCAGCGCTCCCCTCCTGAAGCCCTTCTGTCAAGGAGCATGCAAAGCGGGAAGATCCTCCTCCCAGCCCCCAGCTTCCATGAACTGGGTCCCCTTTTCAGGCCCCATGATAGCCGGTCTCAGGGACCTCTCCAGACAGGTGGCTGGGACCCTCCCTATCCCACAGCTCCCAACCTTGACAGAGGCTTAGCAAAGCCAAAGCCTCATTCCAGCTTCCTGCTTCAGTCCTGGATCCTCATGCGAGTCTCCAGGAAGTTTGGGCTTAGTTTTCCCTCACCCACACCCTGTGCCAAGATCAGAGTTTGTTGGAGCTTATTCTTTTGGCAGGAGGGCTCTCTTTGATGACCGCGGCGAATGAGATGGAGCCTGGCCAGGTTGTTATAGGAACTCAGGAGAATCCCTGGAGTGGGAGAAATAATGAGAACACGGGGTCATTCACATTCAGAGTTGGAAAGTAGAGCGTGCATTGTCCAGGTCCACAGAGGCTGAGGCAGCAGGAGGAAGCAGGCTTGGGCAGGAGGAGCCGGCCGCATCTCTAGGAGGCTCTGGGGGTGCTGGGCAGGAGCGTGCAGAATAAAGGTTTCACTGAACTCTGGGTTCAAACACTAAATGCCCACTTACTATTTGTAAGTGGCTATAAGCAAGTTAAAACAATCAGCACATCCAATTTTGTTGAACAACAAATGTATTAAATCTAGCAGGAAAATCAACCTCAATTTTGCAGTAGTTATCTTAGCACAGGTGATTTAAAATGACTTTATGTTTTCCTATTTTTTTCTAACTTTTTAAAAAAAGTAGCACAAATTGCTTATATAATTGGAGGGGGGTGGGGGAGAAATCCAACCACAAACTCTATCTACTTTGTAAATAGATTCCAGGAAGAGACTCTTTGGAATTAGGAAACTAACATCTGTACCTTGGAAAGGAAACAGACAGTCCTTTTCAGCTTTCAGACCAGTCCAAGTAAGACCTGTTTCAGCCCCTTGACTGCCTGCGGTTCTGCTGCGGGCCAGGTCTTGTTGGATCAGTGCTGGCCACCGGTGCTGCCCACACAGACCTGATGGGCAAAGGCAGTTGTTTGTGTGATTGGCAGTGATTCTGGCTGCCATCTCACTGCAGGTGGCTGTGTGCTCAGCACACCTTGCCTGCCTTCGGGGTGCCCTCAGGTTGTGCTGAGGTCTCTATACTCCTGTCCCCGGCCAGCCTTGACCCACTGGCAGAAGGGGAGCAGGGTGGCTTCTCCCCACCATGCTTACAATTCCTGATGTCTGGGTCTCACATCAGAACTTTAAACTGCTTGTTGTGTCTCTTGTTAATTTCTTGAGGTATTCGATACATAGGAAGTATGATTTTAAAAATATGTCTGTTTAGTTTTAAAAGATTTATTACAGTAGGGGCCGGGGATTTAGCTCAGTAGCATAAGTGTCTGCCTGGCAAGCACAAGGTCGTGAGTTCTATCCCCGGTACCAAAAAAAAAAAAATTTATTACAGTAAAAGATACATTACTATTAATCCCCTTCGAAATACTCACCCTCAGTTTGAACACACTTATCCTGTCATTTCTCAAGCAGTTTGGCAAGCCCTATTTCATGAGGATTTTTAGTCAGAGAATTATGGCTTAATTCAAACATAATTCAAAATGTTCACCTGTTGTGGTCATTTTGATTTTGAGGAGGAGCCTGAAGTTTCAAGGTGCCTGACCTGGTGAATAAGGTTCACGAGGACACACTATAATGTTTTTACAGGCCTGCTTTCTCTTGGCAGCAATTTGCACTGTATTTTTTTAAAATCATATCTCATAAAGACATTCATGAAAGAGGACTTCCAGAAATGCTTCAGAAAGTGGCAAGAACAAAGCCAGGTCTGGTGACGCAAGCCTGTAATCCCAGCACTCAGGAGGCTGAGGCAGGAGAAGGGCCACACGTTCAAGGCCAGCCTTGGAAACATAGTGAGTTGAAGGCTATCCTGAGTTAACAGGGAGACCCTATCTCAATAAATAAATAAACATTTTAAAAAGTAGCAAAAACAATGAGATTAATGTGTTTGAAGTGGAATTAATAACAGTATGTCTTTTAATGTAACAAATGTTTAAAATTTAAACATTCACTGTATTTTGATTACCTTTTGTATATCAAAATGCATGACTCCTAAGTATGTATAACTTGATGAATTTTTATAGCTGTTTATATCCACATGACTACTACACAGATCAAGATACTGAACATTTCTATTACCTTAAAAGGTCCCTTTGTATTTTTCTCAGGCAGTACCCAACCCTCCAAGTATAAGTTATGTACAGTAAATCCTGAGTTTGTAAGCATAATTCATTCTGGAAGCATGTTGTAATCCAAAGTATTTGGATATCAAAGCAAATTTCCCAAAAGAAATAATGGAAACTCAGATGATTTGTTCCATAACCCAAAAAATATCTGTATAAAAATGATTACAATACCATAATACAATACATAAAAATAGAGAAATACAAAATATACAGAGAAATAAATTAACCTGCCTTTACCTTTGCAAACCTTCATGGCTGCTGTGGGGGGACAAGAGAGAAAAGGTAGGATGACTTTCACTATCATTAACAGAGTCAGTGCTATTTGTTGGCTCAAAGGAATCTTTTTCTGTTTATGCTAATTTACCAAGGAACCTATCCACTTGCTTTTGCATACTTTTGAATTTTGTTTTGTTTTGTACCAGGAATCAAACTCACAGCCTCACACTTGCCAGGCTGGCACTTGTGCTGCTGAGCTAAATGCCCGCTCCTCCTTTTGAATATTTTGAGGACGTGGGTATTGCATATACTGCTGTAGCAGGTGGTGCTTTTTTTTTTTTAACAAGATTTTGTGTTGTTCCCCACATTTCCCCACATCTCCCTAATTTCATCTAAGTGAGGGTCTCCTTCACCTTTCTCCTCCTCCGCAGGCAAGATCTCCATACTCCAAACCTCATGTGGCTGAGCTGGCACTGTCAGGGCCTACTTTGTGTGCACATGGATCTGTCCCAAACTGCTTGGGCTTTCTTATAATATGGTAGCTGTGTTCTAAGAGAGTGGAGTCCCAGGCATTTTTATGTCCTAACTTCAGAGGTCGCATCACCCTCCTTCTGCTATTTTCTGTTTGTTAAGGTAGTAACCGAATCCAACCAGCCTAGAATCGAGGGTTGGAGACATAAGACTTACCTCTGGATGGGAATGTAGAAGTTTCTAGAAGACAACAGGAGGTGGGGATACTGAGGTGGCCAGCTTTGAAAGATACATTTGTCATATTATGTCTGTGAGATTTACCCACTCTGATTCATATGTGTTTTTTTTTTCCCTTTTCTTTTGGTACTGGGGATCGAACTCATGACTTTGCACTTGCCAGGCAGACACTTAAATTCCCAACTCACAAGATTTATCCACTTTGTAACATGTATTAGTGGTTTACTTACCCATTCTCCCATTAGTTACTTGCAGGTTAGGGCTGTGTGGCTAGTGCTGAAATGAACATTCTTTTTTTTGGTGCTGGGAATCGAACTCACGACCTTGTGTTTGCCCCTCAGGTTTGTGCTGCTGAGCTATATCCCCGAAGTGAACATTCTGTACAAGCCTTTTGGTGTACAAATGTTACCTTCTATCACTATTGTTGTCACTTTAGCTTTAAGGTTAAAAAAAAAATCACACATTTCTGCCTTTTCTTCCTCTGTCTCTCTTTGTTATTGTAGCCGTTCATATTTTAGTAAGTAAATCTCTGTGTTTTTAAAATGCTGAAATTATAGAAGTATTGTGCATATATTCTCATAAAGGCTTTCAATATTTAATTAAGGTTAAAGTTCCTCCTGGAAATCTGGGCCTCTTTCTTGTCCCCTGCAGTAACCCTGTCAGCAGTTTGGTGGGTCTCTTTTGCAGCCTTTTTGATATATTTACACATATAAATATTCTCATAGAAAAATCTGCTTTATACATGTGAGTGCATTTTGTTGTTTGGTAGAACAAATGGCATCAAACTACTTGGCAATTTTTCCTCACTCAGTAAACTGTCTGGAAGCTGTGGCTGTGGAATTTCGTGTAGTTCTACTTCACTTTTGGGGTGTGTGTGGTGCAGGAATTCAATCCAAGGCTCTCACAGGTTAGGCGAGTGCTCTACCACAGAGCCACACCCAAGCCCTCTACTTAACTTTTATTATTTATTTTTTTGTTTTTGTTTTTTTGGTACCGGGGATCGAACTCACAACCTCGCGCTTGCCTGGCTCTACTTAACTTTTAAACTGTCCAGTAATGTTCTATACCATTATTGTCCCATTGCTGTCAGCCCTTTCCTGTGGAAGGGAATCTAGGTGGTAACCCTCCTGTTGTTTACCGGGTGTCCCATGAACTGAGGGCTGAGGCCTCACGCACTGTAAACACTGTCACTTTGGTGGCTACTGATGTGCACTCCCCCTGGGGAATGGTTTTCAGGAGCTCTGGTTCTGTGCCCCACAATCCCACGATATCGCTTTTCTCTCCCCTGCAGAGACGCCTCAGAGAGGCTGTGCAGCTGCTGGAGGACTACAAGCATGGGACCCTGCGCCCTGGGGTCACCAATGAACAGGTAACTCTGTTGGAGATGGATGCAGGCAGGCTGGAGGGGAAGGAAGGACAGCATTAAGGATTAGAGTTTGATGGTTGACATGCTAAAGTTTTTCTTTTTGTCCATAAATTCTATTTTAAAACTTAACATATTAATGCATTTTTCAAAGTATATATAAAATGTGTAGATCATTCAAAAAACCCAGTAGGATTAAAACACTTGTAAGGCAAAATAGAATGCAGCCCACCCTCTCCAATTCCCAATCCTGTTCCCTAGGTGCAACTACTTTTTGCTGTGTCTCAGATGAAACAAACTAACACACCTAACTATGCTGCTATTTTTCAATTAGTTCTTCTGCATTGTCTCTTATAATTGAAGATTTAGCTTTTTTCTTAACCATCTCTACAAATACACTTTTTCTTCCATCTCCCATGCCCTCCAATGATAGTTACCATGGTTTAAAGGTTTGTAATTCAGTATTCACTTACTGATTATATAAGTAATTTTCACAGCATATTGTTGGTTGTATCATGATCATGTTTCTTCCCCTTGTCAACTTTATGTTTTGCCTGGAGTTTATACTTGTTTCATTTTTTCCATTGATGTAGTTTCCTTTGTATCATCTCTAACTTGTTTTGTAATCTCTAGCAGGCTTTCCATATTTTCAGTGCCCCATTTCAATGGAAGACTTCTGTCTTTCTGTTTTATCACTCTCCCACTACCTGAAATTTTTCTTTCTCGGGCTTACTTCTCACCAGTTTGTATATAGTTCAGGCTGGCTTTGAACTTACTATGTAACCCAGGCAGGCCTCAAACTGTTAATGCCCCTGCCCCTGCCTCCCAAGTGCTGGAATTACAGGCATACACCACAACTCCCAGCAGGTCTTTCTTTTTCTTGATGTGTACCATAGCTTTGGTGGCACATTTATTCCAGTAACTCCTGAAAAAGATATGGCTGGGGATTTAGCTCAGTGGCACAAGCCTCTGCCTAGCAAGTGTGAGGTTGTGAGTTTGGTCTCTAACACCAAAAAAAAAAAAAAAAAAAAAAAAAGTAAATGGGAAAAACATTTGAATTCTTTTGTATCTAAAAAATTGTAATTCTACAGAATCTTAGCTTTAATTAACAGTTTGGGTGAGGATGAAATTAAAGGTTGATAGTCATTTTTATTTTAGAATTTTGAAGACTATTGCTTTATTTTCTTTTGGGCTCCAATATAGCTTTTGAAAATTCTGATGCCAGTGTGGTGCTGCATACCTGTAATCCCAGCAGTCAGGAAGCTGAGGTAGGATGATTGCTGTGAGTTCAAGGCCAGTCTGGATTACATAGTGAGACTCTGTCTCAACAATCAGTCAGTCAATCAATCAATCAATCAAATTTTAAAAATCTAATGCCATTTCATTTCTGAGTCTTTGCAGATGGCCTGTTTCTTTTTAGAAATATTTATGATCTTTTTATCTGTAAAATTATTTTGAAATTCTTCAATGCTATGTCTTTTGAAATTCATTATTTTAGATCCTTGGTGACCTCTTTCAATTTGAAGCCTCCTGTCCTTTTGTTCTGGTCCAAACTTTTGTTCTTTTTCTGTAGTAATTCCATTTTATTTTGGATCTTCTATTAGTCAAATATTAGACATCCTAAATTGACACTGAGAGCCTATCTTTTTCTCTTCCGTCCCCTCTCTTGTAGGCCAGATGTGGGGCTATTGGTTGAGAAAAAAAAAAAAAAACAGGGAAGAGGCTGGATGAGGTTTTTCTTCATAGACCCCCTGAAACAGACAATGACAGTGCAGACACACAATACAGAGGGAGAGCAGCACAAGCAGCAATAGCCAGACGCCAGTGTCTGGGAAGGCTTTCTGAGATGTGAGGGAAGGAAAGGGCCTGCGGCCAGAAAGCAGGGCAAGAGCTTTGCTCCAGGCAAAGAAGCACAGGAGCTAAAAGCTGAGAGCAAGCTCTTGCAGACAAGGTGAGCGAGGCAAATATGCTGGCCAGCAGCGAGGCTGGGTGCAAGGAAGGCAAGTGCATGTGGACACCGTACCATGGCCAGATGTCGGTCTGTCTGTCTTCCTTTTCTTTTCTTTTTTGTTTTGGTACTGGGGATCGAACTCTCGACCTTGCACATGCCAGGCCACTGAGCTAAAACCCCAGCCCTGCCAGATGTCTTTTGAGGCTCCCAGGAAATGATGAGGCAGCCTGTGCTAAGGTGTTCACGTTGCATGCTGGGCCGTGGACAGCATCATTGGGAAGGAGGCTGCAGTCTTGCTCCCGAGCAGGTGTCCTTTTTGGCTACTGGTGTTGAAGGGCCCGCATGGCTTGACCTTGGTAGCATGAAGTAGTCTTCAGAGCCTCCAATGTTCTCCTTCTACCCGTTAGGGATGGGTCCCCTCACCACCGCTGAAGCTCTTTCTGATCCTTTGTCTGCTCCTAGCCCCAGCTCCTTTCTGTCCCATTCTTGCTGAGGTTGTCCTCTTGGGATTTATTTCAGCTCACAGAGTTTGGGGAATAAGGTCACATTTCCCTTATTTGCTTCCTTCAGTGGCTTAAAGCTGCCTGTCCTGTTTCCCAGGCCTCTTTGTTTTCTGTCCTGAAAGCCCCATGTGCCTCAGGGAGTGGGAGGAGGGGACCTGGAGACAGCTTGGCACGAGCTGTGCTTCTTCATTCTGGCTTCTGATGGTGAAGCCTGCAAGGTCCATCTGGTGGCTGGGTAGCACAGGGCTGAGGTGTAAGCCTGCCTCCATGGCCCCTGGAAGTTGATCTTCCCTCTCCTCTCCTCTCCCTTCCTGGGGCTCTGCAGAGATTGAGGAATTGGGTCTTCGTGGCTCTCATAGTGCCTCCCTGACTCTGGCCTCTACAGACACAGGAACATAAGGGATAGTGATAGCATTGTTTTTGTTACTTTCTCATCACTGGGACATACTACCCAACACTCATAATTTAAAGGAAAAAAGGTTTATTCTGGCTCATAGTTTGTAGTGATTTCAATCCTTGGCCAGCAGGCTCTATGGCAGAATGGCATGGTAGAAGGGCCTGGGAGAAGAGAAGCTGCTTACCTCATGGCATCCAAGAGGAAAGAGAAAGCAGAGAGTCAAGGGAAAAGCCAGGAAGGGAGACGCATCCTTCCAGGTCACACGCACATTGATCCCACCTCCTAACAGCAAGTCAGCTATTACCCCTATAATCTTGCTTTTCAAAAGCCCCACCTATGATTACTTGAGGCTCTGTAGAGGATGCCATCTAGATATATACCATAACTTTTTACCCCTGCCCTCCAAAAGATTCATACACATCTCTTTTTAAAATTTAATTAATTAATTAATTATTTTATACTGGGAATCAAACTCACGATCTTGTGCTTGCCAAGCAGGCACTTATGCTGCTGAGCTAAACCCTGGCCCTCATATAGATCTCTTTATGCAAAATTCATTTAATTACTCTCTAAGAGTTGTTATAGCACTGATGAAAAGTTTTAAGTCCAAAGTGTCCTCTGAGACTTACGGCAAACTCTTAGCTGTGAGTCCTTGTACACATAAAAATAAAAAGCCATGTTGTGGTGGCTCATGCCTATAATCCCAGCAGCACTCAAACTGGTGGCTGACCTTGGGGTGGTTTTGTAGACATGTAGAACGTGAGTTGTGAGTCAGGGAGAATTCTGCCCAGATTTCAGAAGAAGTCAGGAGGATCACTGTAAGTTTGAAGCCAGGCTAGACTATATAGTGAGTTCAAGGCCAACCTGAACTACCTCATGAGAGCCTTTCTTAGAAGAAAGAAAGAAAGAAAGAAAGAAAGAAAGAAAGAAAGACACTGCTAACATACAATAGCATAGGATAAACATTCTCATTCCAAAAGAAAAGAAGCAGGGGATAGAAAGGGATGATACACAAGCAAAACTGGAACTCAGCAGGGCAAACATTAAATCTTTTAGCTCTGTGTCCATCACTGAGGGCAAGTTGTGGCCATGAGATGGGACCCTCAAAGGGTTTGGGTGGTCCCACCCACATGGATTTGCAGTGGTCATAATCTCAGTGGCTTCTCTCTGGGGCTCACTCCTTGTGGTTTCACTCAGGATTACATATTTTGGCTTCTACATCTTTCTCCACACACTTTAAGCTTCACTCTCACTGATTTACACACTGCCCTCTCAGGGGTACGCTGCCTGGCCTCCCAGGCCTTCTTCTGAAATCTGGGTGGAAGCCTTCTTGGCCCTACAATTCATATTCTGCATACCTGTAAAACCACATGAATGATCCCAAGCTCTGCCACCAGCTTGAGCCACAGTCAAGCTGCCTTGTATCATGGCTACAGAGGTCTCTGAGTACCTGTATGACTGAGTGCTGTGAATCGAATCCGAGAAAATAATTTCCCTAGTTGGCTATAGTTCTATAATACCGTGTCCTATGGCTCTCTTCTTAAACCAAAGTCTTTCAGTTTTGCAAATTTGTAGAACCTGCAAAGTGTAGAACCTTGCTAGTTCTTCACATGCCTGTAAGGTATTTTCCCTGTTGTCCTGATCTAAAGTACTTGGCTTCTTTTTAATGGTAATGTTTTCAGTAATCAACCTCTCTTCTGCTCCATCTTTGCAGGAACTTTCTTTCTGGCAAAACTGAAAGCTTTTTAAATAGGCGTTTGCTCCAGATTTTCAGTATAAACTTGTCAAAAAGCCCCCAACACTATCCATTCCACAGCCGCAACACTGGGCTGTCTTAAAATTTTCTCAACCAGATTAACTAGTTCTTTCTACTTAATTCCAGTCTCCTACAAAGTCTCAGGACATGAGCAAATTGTAAACAAATTTTCTAACAGAGCTTGATATATATGGTCTCAAGACAATTGCAGCTAGAGTCTTTGCTCCCAAATGAAGCTTCCTGAGCCTGATCTTTATCATCTGCATTTCTATCCACATTATGCCTTTTTGGGCTCCAACCAGAATCACCCATCAGTTCTATCTTGTAGGTGTCTAGGGTTTCTTTAGCTGGTATCTCCAAACCCTTCCAAACTCTTCCCACCAACCAGTTCCAAAGGCA